TTAGGCCGTTCAGAATGCAATAAAAAACATATTTTTAAGTTTCAATTAAAGGTTTTTTGGTCTGACAAGACTAAATTAATCGCTTTCAATCAGATGGCCGGGCATGGTATTGGATCAAAGACCCAAATTAAGCCTAAGCGCATCATGTACTGCAAACTGAGAATCACAGTGGTAGGATCTTAATTGTTTGGGGTTGTATTTCAAAAATTTTGTTGGTCCGTTAGTACGCATTATGCGTAGGGAACAGTATCTGTACATATTTCAACAAAATTTGCATGATGTGGTCGAAAAATGAGAGTTTCTGCTGAAAAATCACGCAAAACATACTGCATTTGTTCGCAAAGACTGGATACAAAAGCAAAAATTTGCTAATTTGAAATGACCTCCACAAACCGCGGATATGAATCTCATCGAGAATTTGCGAAATCAACTAAAAGCACAGCTTAATAAGTATCAAAGTCCGTAAAATCGAGTACATGAGCTGTGAAAGCAAACTAAGGATATACCTCCAGAATTTTTACAAAGATACAAATAAGGTATGCCAAAGCACATCCAGGAACTGAAACAGGCAAAAGCGTACTGAACATTGTGTTAGTAGTTCTTTTTTTTCGTGAAAATTGTTAAAAAGCTCATAAAAATATATGAGTGCAAAACTGTAACATCTGCCTTAATTTACATTTTTGTCTGCTGGTTTTTTTATTGTTGTTGTATTGACTTCAAATCATTATGAGGGAGGGAGTAGGGATGTACCAAAAAGAATATTCAACAAAAGGACGAAAGTCGTTAGAACTTGGAAATATAGCGGTGGCTGAAACAAAAAGTGTTAAACCATGTTACAGTTTTGCTCGTCACTGTATGTGCGTAGGTTTCTAAATCACTTTGCATTCCAGCTGCACGTGTGGTAGCGCCGACACAGGAGATTGTGGCGCCGCAGCCTGCGATTAGTGGCATACTGTATCAGAAATCTCTCACCGCAGATCATTTATACGATGAGCCAAATACGTTAAGTACGTATCTACACACATACTTACATACGTACTTATACCTTTATACTTAAATATATCGATGGTTTTCTGCAATATCGACACAACTGAAAATTCAACAAAACAAAACCCTTCCTATTGTTAAGTGTCTCATGCCTCAAATCCTTGTGTAAACCGTGTCTAAGCCTTACTTGGGAAAGCAGTGAGTATTACTAAACTAAATAGTAAAGATTGTACACTCAAAAGTAGGAAGGGTTGTGTTTTTTTTTTTGTTTTTTTAATTTTTGAGTTGTGCCTTTATTGCAGAGGACAATCGATATTTATCATCCTTACTTACATAATTTCCCGCCCAGAATACGCGCAACAACGTGACCAACTCATCGAAGCTGAGCAACTTCTTCTCACTGGCGGTCACTTGCAGCTTGACGAAAATGAGTTGATGGTACATCAAATTTTCATGCGCCACAAACTGATGGAACTCACTTACGGCATGCAAAATCCGCATGAACACGCACCGGCGTTGCACTTTTTCAAAGCCAAGCCGCTCATCGAACAGAGCAATGTTTTCAAATTCTTACAAGCCATGCCGAAGGGCGCCATTTTGCACGTACACCGCACTCCTGCGGTTTCCGTCGATTGGCTAATCGGAAATCTCACCTACACGCCAGGTCTCTTGAAATGCTTCACTGCGCGCGGCAGTGTTGTGCTGAGCTTCCGTGAGGACGCCAAGAAACATGGCTGCCGCTCGGTTTACTACAATGTGCAGCAGGAGCGTGAGCGCACGCTCTCAAGGAGTCGATATGATAGTTTTTTGGGAACTAAACTTAGTTTGTACTCGCGTTTGCCGGAACGTAAGTGATGTGTAGCCATGCAGTTTGTAAGCATTTACGGTTATTCTTTAGCTTTCTTTCGCAGTTGAATACAATGATCAGAACAAGGTTTGGCGGCGATTTGAAGACATATTCGATACTGTAAGTGATACCATAGGCTATGAACCAGTTTTTCGTATGTTTCACTGGCAGCTGATGGAAGAGATGTACGAGGATAATATAATGTACGCGGAGCTACGCATGAAATTTAAACCGGTGAGTTAATGTGAAACATGCGGGTTGTATCCGACCTAGGCCTGTTGTTTCGGCGATCTAACTTTGCCTAGATCTTTCTCAGCTAAGAGCAACATATTGCATCCGGGCTATTCTGTATCGTTACTAGACACGAATAAAGGCACGAGCCCAAAAGTTGACGGCGAAAAAAGACGCATACAAAAATTTCAGCGTCAAAGACTCTTAACATACTTCGCCAAAGTTTTTTTAATCATCTTTTTTCGCAAAATTTTTTTAAACGCCTTTGATCGCCGTCAAAACACTAGCGCGCCTTTATTCGTGTGTAGTGACGGTATGCTTATCCTTCGGCTTGTATCAAACTCCAACCCAAAAACCTATTTAAACTGCATATCCCGGAAATGGCTCCATTCGCACTGAACTTCGGGGTTGGCGTCGTGCGAGGAGTCTCCACACCGTAACTGGACGCAGTAACGCGAGTCTATCTTGGCAGTTGAAGCTCCGTGTCTACCACAGGTAGTTATTGGGCCACGACTCCCTGTGAATGCTGTTGATCACTCGGCAGTAGGTCGTCGGTGCCCCCTGTCGTGCCTGGGCGGAGGCTGCTCCTAGAGAAAGGGTCTGCTAGGGTGCTCACGTCTGTGGCATCCCACCAGAAATTGCTTGCTGACGGGAAGCACTTGCGCTTCGCTGTGTAGGTGGTGCTGTGTCCAACGAGTCCCCGGCGACCAAACAGGCGCAGCATAGTTTAGAACCGGCCGGCCAATTGCCTTGTATGTTACCAACAACGTTTCTTTGTCTTTGCCCAAGGTACTGCCGGCGAGCGACTTGAGGATCTTGTTGCGGCTCTGTACTTTGTTGACAACTGCGGTTTTGTGCATTGAAAAGGAGAGCAGGCTTTCAAAGGTGACCCCTAAAGTTTTTGTGTTGTTCACTATTGGAATTGGTGTGCCATCGACGTGAATGTCTAATTTAAGCCTAACCTCCTTCGTCCAAGTGGTGGAGACGGCCGCCGTTGACTTCGTTGGGGAGAGTGCTAAGCTCCTTGCAGTGAAAGTCTGGGGAGATAGCCGTTTACTTTTGAGCAGAGGTCTTCAATTCCATTCCCAGACGCCAATATCGATCAGTAGTCAGCGTATGAGATCAGGGAAACTCCCTCAGGTGGCTGGGAGAGCTTAGAGATGTAGAAGTTAAACAGTAAGAGGAAGAGGAAGAGGACACCACCTTGTGGAACCCCTTGTTTGATTCTTCTAGGTTTCGGGGTTTGATCACGGAAGATTACTGACGACTGTCTACCACTCATATGATTCGCCGATCACCGTTTGAATGCCTGTGGGAGAGGAGGCCTCCTCTAATGTCTTCTAGTAGCGTGGAATGACAGATGGTGTCAAACGCCTTCAACAACGCTACTAGGACTGTTCTCTCACAGGGGCGATTGCGGTTTAGGCCACGTGTTATCTGTGTGTTTGTGGCGTTAAGTGCTGTTGTTTGCTGTTAACTTTACGGACACCACGTTTAGATCGGCGAACCCCAATTAACACGACTCTTTCTTTGGCTTGGCCCCATCGAAAGTTTACGTTTCATAGGCCTGCCATTAAATGACCCTGACGGCTAATGGTCTAAAAGCCTTCACTACAAAAAAAAAAAAAATAAAATAACGAGCCCTGATATTTTTGTTTCAGCTTTATGGCGCTAATGGCACCACAGTTGCAACTGAGTACGAAGCCGCCGACATTCTTTTAGAGCTAATAGATGAGTTCAAGCGTTCACACCCCAGCTTCTTAGGTCTAAAAATAATCTATGTGGCGCATCGTGGCTCAGATGATGTTAAAATGTTTAAAGCTTTCCAAACATTCAAAGACTTCCAGTAAGTGCAACGAATATACAATTATAAATTAATTGAAAAAGAAATAATACAGTCATGTTTAAATAATTTTTCTCTCCTCACAGTGAACGATATCCCGATTTCGTTATCGGTTTTGATCTGATCGGACAGGAGGATAAGGGAAAAGCTTTGCAAGCGTTTGCGTCCATTTTACAGAATTTACCGAAGTCTGCAAAGTATTTCTTTCACGCCGGGGAAACAAGTGAGTTTCAAATCAATACCGTTAAATACAAACGAAGGAATACGTGCTTTTCTTATTTCTCCTTGCAGATTGGCTGGGCTCGTCAGTGGATTTGAATTTAGTCGATGCTATTCTTTTGAATACCACACGCATTGGACACGGTTATTCGCTGATGAAGCATCCCTTGCTTAGCAAGGCCGTTAAAGAGCGTGACATTGCGCTCGAAATTAGTCCGCTCTCGAATCAGGTGTTGAATTTAGTTTGGGATTTGCGAAATCATCCGGGTGGCTACTTTATGTCCGAGAATATACCCTTAGTAATCTCGAATGACGATCCGGGTTTTTGGAATGCTAAAGGTTTGAGTTATGATTTCTATTACGCGATTATGAGTTTCGCACCGAGTAATGCTGGCTTGAAAACACTCAAGAGTCTAGTGTGGAATTCTATTAAGTACTCGGCGTTGAGTGATACGGAGAAAGAGTATGCGTATGCGCAGTTGCAGAGTGATTGGTCCGCATTTCTGGATCGTGTCATTAGCGGGGAAGTAGTGTAATTTGTCCTTAGATACATACATATAGTATAGATGTATATACATATGTAGGTGTTTTCATTTGTAGTTACACGTTTTTTAGATGAATATAAAATTAAATTATAACTCCTGCGATATATTTTTTACATGAAATTTATGAATGACTACTTCATTGTACATTTAAGCATGCATTTTAGGTACCTTTTACAATTTTAAATATTTCCAAAGTGTTTCTAATCAGTATACATGTGTTCCGCTATGAAATTTTGGCAGCTTTCGGTTATTTGCAGAAAAGCGCATCGAAAGCCACCTATTGAATTGCACTGAAATTGGGATTGAGAAAAAGGTTTACCTCTGTAATAAAAGTATTTTCAAATTTAATTGAAATAACTCACAAAATAGGGATCACGTATAATTTGGTCTTCAGGACGGTCAATATACTTTCCCAGTAATTCGACTTTTGCGCAACGCTGTTGGCTGGAATCCTTCGCAAGGGTTTCTAGCTCATGCAAATTATGCTCATCCATGGCGAGAATATAGTCATTGTTGTAGAAGTCCATTATGGTAATCTATGAGGCATTCGAAATGTATTGGGTTGTAGACGATGTACTTCAGCAAGTATGGAGCATGTATATTACCTGTCTTCCCACATGATCTGTTGTAAGGCTATTCTCTGCCAGTACCTTGATACAGCGATCATCTGGCTTACGACCTACATTCCACGTTCTCAGGCCAGCGCTGTCCACTTCTCAGCTGAGATCGTATTCTTGTACCCAGTGCTTCATGACGCTTTCCGCCATTGGTGAACGACAAGTATTGCCTGCGTACAAGACTTTTGTTAATTTCAACACCTGTTTACATACACACATACGTACATACATATCTCGATCCGTAAATCTAAACTTACCAATGCAAACGAATAGGATTTTCAAGGACTTCATGTTTCGATTTTATCAAATACTATTAAAATTTAATATTCTAAAGTTAGGGAAACAATATTCATGATGAATATAATTTAGCATGTTTCTTAGAGGCGATTTGTCAAATAAAGCGAAAACTTACATAAGAAATTTTGCTGACTTTTATATTTTTCGTTTTTGACAAAAAGAAAATCAAAGAAAATCTGAAACAGTGTAAAATTTTCAGATGAAAAAAGGTGAAAAATTATTCACATAAAAGAATTTCCTATGAACTTGGAGTATCACCATTTTCCTTCAATTTGTGTTTCCAGTTATGAAATGGCGGTCGAATCGTTTCATCCTACAAATAGCAAAACTTGATGGGTCTATTCGGGGTAGGGCCTCCAATCAACCCATGTATGGCATGCAACCATACTTAGTTCCTATAATTCTTCGCCAACACGCTCCGCCTATGTATTTTTGATGTTGCTGAGTTTGGAAGAATGATGGTGACAGTGCTTTGCCAGATAAAAATCTGCGTCGTTCTGATTACGTAGACCCGACTGTCGTGGTATAATTTTGATAACTACTTGAACTTCTTTGCATCACTGTGCTTCGCCCTATACTATAAGTTATTTGGCAAAAACACAATTTTTGTTTGCATTTTCTTTTTTTTAACAAATATCTATTTATTTCTTATGCTTTCACAAAAGGGGTTTTGAATATATCACGTATATCAGCTGGTTTTCGTGCATTGAACATTTAATTTCACTATTAACATGCTAACTAATTTAGATTCAATTGCTTTCTTCTTAAACCTTACCAGCCACAGCTTGTTCGAAAAACGCCGCACACGCTTTAACGCATTGCTGATAAGCTTTTTCGAAACCAGCATCGCCTCGTTGCTGAAAAAGTATACAATGTTACATATTCATCGGCAAACATAGTTTAGTTTAATTGCTTCAATATTCCACTCACATAGTAAGGATCCACGATGATGCGATCACTTTTATCCAGCCCGAAATCACCTAACATTAGCAACTTAGCTTTGGAATTCGCTGGCGCTAGCGAACGCAAATCACCCATATTTTCCTCATCCATGCCGAAAATGTAGTCAAAATCATGAAAATCTTGCTTCTTTATTTGACGGGCTCGATTGTTGTAGGGTAAATCATGTTTTTTCATTGTGCTCAATGCTCGATGATCAGGTGGACTGCCACGATGCCAATCGCCAATTGCAGCAGAATCCACTTTCCAATCAGCGGAGGCGCCGGCTTTTTCGATTGTGTCAATCATTACCGCCTCGGCAATGGGAGAACGGCAAATATTACCTGCAATGAATGAAACTTACATTAAAAGACTCGCAGCAATAACTTCTCCGCATACCTAAACAGATCATCAAAATCTTCTTGACCATCTTCGTGCTATTTAATTGTATTATTTTTCTCAAATATGTCTCAAATCTATTGCACTGTTGTTCAATTTGACTTTTGATGTCCTCTATGACATTCGCTATCAAATCATATGGTTACGACGTAAGTACGTTGTCTTGTTTAACGTCACGTACAACTAACATACTGTTAGCATTAACCTTTTAGGGGCTAAGAGTTTTATTAGCTTCGTTCCTCAACTTTAATGATGCAACCTGTTAAATTATCAAAAAAAAAAACTGGTTAATCTGTCAAATACAGCGTGGATGCCAGCAGTTTTTTTT